TGGACATCCATTTATTTCATTAAATTTTATACAATATGCATTTTATTATATTTATTTCAAAGTTTCTTGTATGTTTCATTTCTACTTATGGTATCTATCATTCATAAAGTGATGAAGGTTTTAACAGGGATAGAGTTATGTTGGACATCCATAGAGGGAAAGGGGTTACAAAAACTTGGACAAACTGGGACAAGAGGGAAAAGTAAACATTTCAAGAAAAATGCACATGTAATTTATGGATAGCCCAAGTGCTTAGACTGTAGAAAATGGACTTATACCACTTTCAAAATCAATGGTTATGCAATGTCATTTATCGATAAATTTTCAATTGATCAAAGCTTATGGTTATTTTAAAATGTTAAGTGTGAATTGTTTATAAATAAAAAGTTCACACTAAATTGTATGTATATTATGTGTTTTCTCAATTTTTTCCAAAAATGGACTTACACCACTTTCAAAATAAACGGTCCATATATTAGATCCTGTTCTTTGCCCTCAATTTAATCTATTGTCATCCAGTTTGTTATACTAGACAAAATTAAAGCTGACTTCATAACTTGCAGTATACTAGTATATTATGTCAATAAATTCATTAATCATCCAAGGATTAGTTACTTGAGAAAACAAATTAGTTTGGGATTAAAAGGCAAAACACTACATACGTTTTTAATTATAAAACATAAAAGAATGTATATATTTATATAAGAAAGTATGTTTTTAAATTATACTTTCTTTTGTTCTTTCTCAACTAAACCTGGTTTTACGTGCTAATAAATGACAAACTTACATCTAGTACAATGTTCTCAGGCTTAATGTGAGGGGAAGGTGTGTATATAGAACCATAACTGGTGATTTCCAAGAGGTACTTTGGCAGAAAAAGACCATCCCAAGACATGATCATGCCAAAGGATGAACATTAGTGGAAGAGTTGAAGGAGACCAACAAATTTACAATGTAGAAATTCAAAAAATGGAAGTTTCTATGTTGTATGATAGTGAAACCAAACAAAAACATCTGAGATGCAAAAAAATTACACCAAGTAAAAATTTATGACAATTTAGACCACAGTCAAAATTTTTCTTTAGTGAAGATAAGCTTGATACTTGGAGGCAAAATGTAGAAAACAATAATATAGGTAAAAATATTGTGGCTACTGCTTTCAAGTGCCAATCTTTACCAAAGAACAATTTGGTAAGAAAAATTTTGACTGTGGTCTATCCACCATATCCAACCCGCAGCCTGCAGGCCGCATGCATCCCAGTCAATGTTTTTGTGTGCCCCATTTAAATCCGTAATTATCTTGCATAAATTTTTATTACAATAAATTATCACATGTATAGTTAAATACATTAATATGGTGTATAACACCTTATCACCTATACTTCGAAAAACATCAAATGTATTACATATACTATATATATGTAATACATTTGTATGTATATGTATGTACTGTACATACTGTATGCATATGTATTTATTCAGTATGTTTACAACAAAAGTTTTAAAATTTGTGTTTTGGTATATGGCAAGAAAAAATAATTCTTTGAAGCATTATCAAATTCATGATTATCTTCAAGAACTGGAATCTGAGTACAGTGATTTGCTTTTTTACATGAAAATTCAATGGTTAAATTGTGGAAAATGCTTAGAAATATTTTGGAATTTGAGGGAAGAAATTTGTATTTTTAGGAGTGAAAATGATTAGAATGTTCCTGATCAATGATCAATTTTGATAAAACTTTGCCAGATTCCATTAATTGAGATGAAGAATCCAGAAATGCAGTGTGGTCCATCCAAAAAATCCAGCAACCAATTGCTTAACTTTGCTGGCAGCACTTAAAATTCTGGTAGCACTATGTTAAGATATTTCATTAAAAAATACTGTTTACATTTTTAATTATTATAAAATGGCAAAAAGCTTAATTTTCAGGGTAGGGATTGGTTTTATAAAAAAATTGTAAAATACTAATAATGAGTAAAATAGTCATTAAGTCCAACCTTACTTGAGATATAACAAACAACCACCCTTTATCTTCTCACCCTATTGACCTTAAATGACCAAAATTTAATAGCATGAATCTTTCTAATATACAAACCTTCCTGCAAAATTTCAGAAATTTTTGAAAGTGCAAGAGTTATTAAGCTTCAAAAAGAGTAAACAAAATCGTGTACCCCACAAACACACACATTAACATCCATACATACAGAAAAAAACTGAATGTTTTTGCATCTCTCGATATTTCAGAGTCCCCTAAGTCCAAAAATGTAAAAAGTCTTGGGGGGAGGGGGTCAATTTTTGACCAATTACCATACATTCCCTCTGTTATCTATAACAGAATCAGGAAAGTAAAAATAGGAATCAATGACTTAGTTTTACAATATACAAAGGTATTACAGTGGCAATGTCCATGCTCTCTAATGCGACTGAGCATGTGTAATGGAATTTAAGCCTAGGAGTCAAATAAAAACAGTATTACGTGTGGCTAATGGGAAATAGACACAAGAACAAAACAATTACTATCGATTGCTTTGTTCTTGGATCGTCTCTTTGTGCCTGGCCAGTGCAAGGGTTATGTCTCCCATGGCCGACAAGTAAGAGAATAGCCTTTTTTGTGGCGGAAAGTGCAAAGTTCACCCGTCCGCATTCATCAGATACTGTACAGGAATTGCCTCTTCTGTGCAGAGGTGCACTCTTTCTTTTTGATTCTGCTTCAATTCTATCACAATACGACAAAGTTGCACAATGTCTTTGTGGTAATTAAAAATATAAAAAGTTTTTAAAACAGAATCTGATAACAGATGGCACCAAACACAATTTTATTTTTTGCTTAATAATTTAGGTTTTTTAAAAATAAATACTCATAACATCCAGGAAATTTACGCAACTCCCATTGCTAGATTATTTTTTTTTAGTTACTATGAGACTAAAGATTAGTCTAATTTCTTATAATAGCAATAGTTCCATAAAAAAATTTAGAACCTGATTTATGTGTTTGGTATAAAAATATTTTATTTCTAAGATAGCTTAAAATTACTGATTATTATTAATCTTTATCTTTTTGACTTTCAGTTTACTAAAGATTTTTTCTTTAACATTCCATCAAAATCTGTCCAACAAAAGTTATTTTCCGAATTAATAGATTTCTGTCTGAATTGCATTGAACTAAAGTGTAAAAATTCATTGAGTAAAATTATAAGAAAGGTATGTAGAAATTTATTATGTACTGTTTTTAAATATTAATATATTTTTTGATAAAATATTTATTTTTTTGTGTATGTAGTTATGCTATGATGCCAATTTATTGGTTAGCGAATTGCAAAAGTTTAATGAAATATCAGTCACAACAATGAAGGAAACAAAAGGATTAAGGTACAAAATTAATAATTTTTTAATAGTAAACACTAGTATAATTTTTACAACTTAATTAATTTAATGTACTTTACACTTTCTGGGTATCGGCTGGAATGGATAATGATGATGATGATTAATTTAATATTTGTAATTTCTCTTCTATCAAATGATAAAATAGAAATTTATAATTTTATTTGTATTAGTTAGATTTTAATTAATTAATCAATCATCTGTTATTTATGTAGAGATAAACACAAATTAGTCTTCTGAAAATGTTTAAAACACATGAACATATTTGATACATCATTTATAAATGATAGCAATAGGTCTTTGTTTTGCATATATTTGGAATATAGAAAATATTTGTAACCTGCCTACTAATTAATCCCAACCAAAAAGTTTTGGCACCACTTTTCTAGACCATTGATAAAACAGATATGGAATCAAAACATAAATTAAATGAACTATTTTATATGTCAGATTTCTCAGTAAAGAAATATAATGAGACAATTTTATATGTTTTTTTTTTTATAAAATTAATAAAATTAATTTTTCTTTTAAAATAAAAAAAGGTCCTCAAAAGCCAAGTCAAATACAGTTGAGATTTTTGAAGAAGACAAATGGAAGAAAATCATATTTCTTCTAGAAATTATTGAAAATAAGAAGAAAATAGAACATCCCGAACTGTTATTTCCAGTCATATTTGATTTGTTTAAAAGGTAATTATTTATACATGTGTAAATGTTACATAAAACCGTACATACTTTTCTTCCAGAATATTTTAAATTATTCAAAAATATATTAATTTATTATAATTATTAAATTTAATAAGAGATGATGACTAATGTCTACCTCTAAAACCAAATTACTTAATAATTTAATTATTAATAGTAGCTGAAAAATAGCCTGGTACTGTACATTACAGCAATTGTCTTGCTTTAGGTAATTTATACAGGAATGCTTTTGTTTTATCAGATTTTACTGGCATAATTCTTGTACCTTTTATTTTCAGTAGGATTTATCTTATAAATATGCAATAGCTTTTCAAAAAGATGTAGTAATTTTTATTTCAGTCTATGCTTATATTAGGAAAATTTTCTTCTTAAATATAACTTGGTATGAATTATTTTTATCAATTATAAAGGATAGAACAAAGGCTGCTAGATCAATTCACTTCAATAGAGAAGTACTACTCAAAATGGTGGTCTATAAACTGGCACCAATCTTAAGCCATTAGGTGCTGGTCTTCAGAATTTCAAGGGAAGAAAAAAATGTTGAATATTGCTGTGTTTTCAGAAGAACATACTAAAAGTATAATATTGATAATTATATTGAGTGATTATAGTATATACTTGTCTGAATATAAATACACTGTTTTGTGGGTAGCCCAGCATTTGAATGTATTGATCAATTAATATGATAATACAGTATCGATCCCTGATACATTGGAAAAAGCTTTGCCAGTCCACCGTGTCAATTTACTTTGATAAATACTGCCGTAAAATATTGGGCAATAATGCTTATCAAAGGCTAGCAGTTTGTATACAGCAATTGCTGTTTAATCTTTCATAATTGGTAAAAGTTTATTTTGTAAATTACTTCTGATGACGTAACTTTTGAGATTATGAGAGAATTGTTTTTATTTTTCCATTTTTTGCATTAATATAACAGAATTAACACCGACACTTAACTATAATGTTTTATTTTCATATGTAAGGAGTATAAATTTGATGCTTGGTAAAAAGTGCTTGGAAAGTAAAGTCAAATAAATACAAAAGTTTTTGAATAAAACTATTGGACCCAGGATCAAATTCAAATAGTCGAAAAACCCCAGTAGTTTTTTAGGGTTGGTCTGTCTCGGATGTGTTGGGTCCCATCTCTCATCATTCAACTACTACTATTATGGGCTTGATTGTAGGTGTAATTAAAAGCCCTTCTTAGGGCTTACAGAGCATAAAGAGCCAAAAAAAGAGTAATTAATTAAATAAATTTATTGTTTTATTGTTTAATGTTTTTCAGGAGTCTAGAAATTGAAAATCATCCGTCAGCAGAATATCTACGACAAGTTATTTTATCATCGTTATTTAACTGTTATCAACTTCTAGAAGATGTCCGCTATTTAGATGAACAGAAATTTCAAGTCGAACTTATCGTGCAGTGTATCCGAATATCCAATAACCCTCAGACACAAAATCAGGCTCTTCTACTCTTAAATTTGGCAGCAAAATTATTTCCAGTAAGAATTTTATGTTAATGCATTACATGAATACATTGTAGCTTTTATTAAGATGAATTTAATGATGAATATTTCATATGTAATAATAGTCTGTATCTAGTACTAATTCTTTAAAATGAAGTGAAATGTGAGGAATACATAAATGATTGCACTTTATTGTGATGAGACAATAAATGTATTGTTTCATCTAGAGTTTGATGTTTTCTGTAGTTTTATGCCACTTAATGAAAGGGATATTATGTTTGAAGATATACATCATTAAGCAACTTTGTCATGTGTACTTAGATAAACTTATATGGTGTAGTCTACTATTAATATGGGTTACATATAATGAAAATATAACACAAGTATTTATGTATCTAAACATTGAAAAGCTACAGGAGGCTTCAATTCATAGCCTCCTGTACCTTTTCTAATTGTACCTTTTCTGTAATAATTGGACTTTCATGAGTGATCCTAGAATAAGGAGTAATTGCAAATTAATATGCTAAGAGGACTCTATAATTAGAAATCAGATGATTGATATTCAGACAAATAGATCAACAAAAGCAGCTATATATAACTCTATCACTAAATAGCTGTTTTAATGTTTTGTAACACAACATGCAATCATGTAGCTTTTCAAAATGTGAAATTTTCCTCTTAACATAATTTTCTGATGTAAAATTTTTGAATTTTTGAAAATTTAATGACAATGCAGATTTAAAAATTTTTTAAATCTGATAATTATGCAGTAATCTTCAAAACTCATTTACTTTCTTTATTTTTTTTTTCAGGAATATGTTCTTCACAATATCATGGCCATTTTCACGTTCATGGGGGCTAATTTAGTACGACAAGACAACAGTTATAGTTTCCAAGTCATTTCACAGACTTTAGAAACAATTATTCCTGCTTTGCTTCAGGTGATTTTATAAATACCTTAATACCTATTATTATGTTTAAAATTGTTTAGTATATAAATAAATATATTTTATTTTTTAGGCAAGCTCTCAGAATCAAGGAGACAGGGTCCAAACAGTTGCGAGCGTGACCAGAGTGTTCGTCGATGCATTACCTGACATTCCGGCACATCGCCGACAATCGTTGTTTGTTAAATTGTTATCTATCCTCGAATTTCGAGAGTTTTTGTGGGTGGTCATAGCTCAGGTGTTTGATATTTGCGTTACGAGGAAAGTAAAAGACGAAAGTTCCGAACAAGGAACCAAGGTATGCTAAAAAAATAGATGGATAACTATTATTTTTCATTAACATATTATTGATCCNATTCTGATATTAAATTTACGTTTTTCTTAATCTCTTTTTAATTTCTTATTTAAGTATTGATCATTTTGCTAATATATTTTCAAGGAAACAATTTAGAATTTCTTTGGAATGTAATTTTTCTTAATTAAACATTTTTTATAGCTTTTTATGTATGAATTTATTAATTTTTTCTTGTTTTTACTTTGTCTACATTTAACAATTTATAAATAAACATACTAAATTTTTATTGGATTGTGAACTGAATACAAAATGCCAAGCTTTTTAAAATATTTCTTAATAATTACCTTATGTTTTTAACTTTAAATTATTGTTGTCACATTTTTAAGATTATTTATGTATTTACAGATTCCTTCTTCAATCATGGATTTTATAACTCTGCTCTGTCAACATTGCTCGGCAGATGTTCAACTTGCCACTTTTATCCAGTTGACAAAATACTTAATAGGACTTCCTAATGAAAATGGTAATTAAATTTTCATTAATTATTAATTTATTTTAATATAAAAATCAATTACACATAAGCAAATAAGTATATAAACTAAATGGAATATTTTTTCTAGTATTGAAAAACAAGTTGATAAAGTTTTATTATTTATTTTTATACCAAAATTATAATGCAACTGCAATGGAACACCATTTATATGTTTCATATACAGAACAGTCCAGAAATTTACAGTACCAAGAATGTAAAATTTTCTTTAATTTTTATACAGTGTTAACTGGATTTTTTGTCCCTTTAATTTAACAAGAGGTTTTTTTTTTTTGAAATTTATTGACTATTTACAACAAGGAATATATTCTATTCTTGTATCCTTCTCTTCATATTCCGTAAATTATGTGGTGTAAAATTGATTCCATCAAGTACAGTGATACCCTATTGGCAAAATTTGAAACTGACAAAAATCAAGGCAATTATTTTCCTATGAGTAGATGTAAATCCAATTAATTTGTTCTACACATTCCAAAATACATACCAAAAACACATTTTATAGAGAATAAATATAGTGTTTAATAATACTAAAAACAAGAAATTAATATAAAATGAATATAAATGCAGGTGATTTTAGCAATCTTAATGTCGCTCTTGTATTTTTCAATGATTTCCCTCTTCAACTTGATCATGTTTCTGACCTTCTTCAAAGGACTGCTGGCTCTGGAACTTTCTTTAGTCCTATGATGGAGTAAAAAGGAAAGGAAAGCAATGGAATTGTTTGGCTAGAGGCACAGGGGTAAGAATGCTCACACGATGAGAAACAATGCCACACTGAACAGGAAAACACATTGGTCGCCCTTTGTTTTCGCAAAATTATCAGCCAAATAGGCACATAGGCATGCCAACAAAATTTGAGGCAACCGTTGAAAACCAAAACAAATTTTTCTCAGAAAAAATTGGTGATAACCGAAGTCAACAAAAACTGAGGTACAGGAATACCCTGCTTAATGTTGCCTTGCTTAATGCTGATTTAATATAATTCGGTCTGCTTGACGTCTAAAAAAATGCTCAAAATTTATGCTGATTCAAATTAACACAGTATTTCATTGATTCATATATATGATTATTCCCAAACACGAACCAATCAGCAAAAGGTGGCAATTTGTCATAGCTTTGTACTTCCCTTAAATCTATGTTTGTTTGGTGCAATTTTGGAAAAAATATAACATCATGGATGCCATAGGAAATAGCGACTTGGCTTGGCAAGAATTAACTGATAACTGCCTGAATGGAGTGTGGAAGAAGTTATGGCTGAAGGTATCCAAGAATTCTCATCAAGAAGAGCCTATCGCTATATCATTAGGTTGACAAAATTGTCAACGTAACGATAAGGGTCACATGTTTCCCTATCCCTATTTACTCTATGTTAAAATGGTTTCGTTTAATGCTGTTTCGCTTAGCGCTTTGTCGTCTTGAAACTCATCCCCTGTGTTAAATGGGGTCTTACTGTATATATTACTATATATTATCTGTTGAAGAATCTAATAGCTGCAAATTTATCATGTATAGAGGAAGTCTATACATTTGTTGTTCCCATGACAGCAAAAGATTCCACAAGCAAAGCAAAGAATCTTTTCTTAATAGAATTAAAGAAATCAATTTCAGGAATTATTTTGATGTATAAAACTAACAATTGTTAAGGGGCATTCTAAATTTTTAAAAAATTGCATAGGGCGGAAAACCAGCTATAACAAGCAGAGTTTGAGTTTTGAGTGTATGAAAATCACTTTTGACTTTATTACTGTTAATCAGATATAGGCCTCTGAAATATGTCTGTTCAACCAATGTTTATGAAGTATTTCAAGCTGTAATCATCAGCACAACACCTGTCAACAGGTAGAATGTATGAGTTGTGTGTAGGATTGTGCAGTGATGGACTGGCCTGCTCGGAAATTCCCAATTTTCCGGTATGCTGTTTGCTTGGAGGCCACTCCTTATTTTATTTGAGAAAAATAAATTACCTAACAAAATACAATTGGTGACTATTGTATTAAATTTTAAAAAGTCTCATTATAAAGTCTAGTTCAGGCCATAAGCCACTGTAGTACAACTCAAACAGCCATTCGGCTCACATTCAACTGTTATCTGTTACTTTAAATTTTAAAGTGCCTTGTCCCAATTTAGACACGGGACTATGGAATGGCTCGTGCAAATTGACATTAGGCCCACCATGATGTTGTTTTAATTTGAAAGTCATCAACGTTGATTTCCACAACCAGGCCCATATTGAACCACATAGATTTGATCCTGGATCCTCCAGATTACTGAGCCAATGAAGAAGATAGGAAGTCAACTTTCCTTTTCATTAAAAGCCTTTTTAATTTACCTGAAAGTATTGTTTACATTTAAAACTTTTTAACAAGAAGTTTTTGTCACTACTGAACATTTGGCAGAAGACAGAAATTTTTTTTAGATGTAATGACTATATAACATCATGAGTAACAAAACCAAAATTATAGGAATTGCAGTTTTTTATTGGTATCGATTTTTTGGGACTTCTACATCCCATCTTCAGATTCCGAAAACTTTTGGATTCCAAAATGCTCAACAAAACCATATTGAAGTTTTCATTTGGACTTTTGGTTTGAATTTTTGTGGTCGGAAGATGGGATGTAGAAGTTGCGAAAAACGTTTTACCAATAAAAAACTAACTCCTATAATTTCAGCACTTTTTTTCTGCTGATAGAAAGAGAAATTCAGGAGTCCAACAAGTCAAAGAGTCTATAAGTATATATAAATACCTGGAAGACTGGAAGATGTGAAACAAGTTCCAAGTTTATTCAAGTCTCTTTATATATGATGTATTCAAATGTGACTAATATGTGAATTTTTAAAATTTGACTATAAAATGCATTTTCTTTCTCATTATAAAGAATGTGCTAAAATTAAAATAATTTTTATATAAACTTTTTTGTTGTATCAATACTTTGTGTTTTGATTTTTTTTTTTTCTACTTTAAATATTTTGATGATTATTTAGTGGAGCTTCTTAAACTTTTTCTATTTGTGACTCCCTTTTACTCAAGAAAATTTTACACGATCCTCTCGTATATAGGTATATAAAATAGTGTACAAATAAAATCACTTACTGATAATAAATAATAAAACAGTTTATTCCACATATGACATGCATATTATCTTACCATTTATTAAAGGTAAAATCAAATTTACATATTTATAAGATGCTGTGCTTTAGTTTTATGTACAGAATTAAATCTTAGCTGAATATTTGATACCGTGGAGCGTAGAGCATCTTCGTCATTTTTTGGAGTTGACCGACATTTCAATTTTATAGTCGTCAATGCTGAAAATGCCACTTTGCATGAATACATAGTACTGAATTTATCTGTTGGCAAATTTTTTGTGCTCTATACATTCAATTATGCAACACAATTTGGGGTCACAACCAACAGTTTAAGAAGCTTGATTTAGTGTACAGTGTTAATTTCTGTTTATCTTATTATTATTATTATTCCAGAAATTGAAGATAAGAAGAAGCTCAAAGGAGTATCTGAGCCATTTGATGTTATGAAGCATACTGTAAATCAATTGAAGCATTTTAAATACAACACTATGTCTTTTATGGTATCATTATTATCATCTCAAGTTTTTATATCTCAGGTAAGCATAAAAATGTATTGAATTTGCATCTTTTCTAAAGTTTCAATGATAATTAGTTTGAAGATAAATATTTTTGAATTCTTTACAATTAAAGTTACAAAGAATGCTTTGATTTCTTAATATACTACCACTCTATTTCTTTATTTAAAGATCTGTAGAATTATTTTTAAATTTTAAAATAAATATTTTATGTTTTTTGAATTAACAATCAATAAATTATCATAGAATGTATGTAGATGTTTGGATAAAGTAAAAGTTTTTAGTAATTTAACTATAAAATTGCATACAAATAGGTCATGGGTATGTTCACTATCCTTAAATTGATTCTTTCTAAACTGGATTTCATTCTTTCTGAAAGTAATATTAGCATTGAATTGGTAAATATGTACTTATATCAAATAATCTGTGTGCATAAAATAGAATGTCTGTCTGTCTATTTGTTCTCTATATACTTGTAAATCCTGTGATTAATTTGGACCAAACTTTTCATTGTCACACTCTAGGATCTTGCAGAAACATGGACATATCATTCCACTTCTTGATCTCAGCCTCCTATTAGTTTCCAATCCTTTGATCATTTCAGACCAAATTTTTCATTTACTTCTTTCGGGACCATGCTAAAAATATAAGCTACCATAAAACCTGGATACCTCATCATCTCTGATTTTATCTCCTTGATACTTTGCGATAATTTAAGTTTAACGCATTATTATATAAGTTAGCAATGCATAATAATTAACAAAAGTGTCGAATAGTCCACGAATCATATTCTTAGTGATTATTCTGAAGGTTATAAGGTTTTCTTTTGGATCCGAAAGCTTTATCTGATAGTTGTAAATAATTAAAAACCCTGGACAAAACTTTACTTAGAATATTTACAAATAGAGGATGGACCTTTTTAAGTAAATTCTATAAATTCTTTTTGTAAATCACTTTAAAAAAGACCAAGAATTGTTTAAAATAAATAGCTTTTAAATTAATTGTAAAATAATTTTGATACTTTTATACAATACCAAATGTTTTGTTTTCATTTTCAGTTACTAGATATAAATTTGAAGAAAGTGGATATGGACGTATTATACGAAGAGTTTATGGAGTTAATACTAGAATATATCCAAAAGCTATCCCATTTAATTAAAATGAATGAAGAAGATTTTCATATAAAATTTTGGAAAGCATTTCTCCATAAGTGTTATGATTTATTAGACAAGGTAATTTTGACTTTACTAAAATTTTATTAAATAAAAATTTTATTCAAGCTAGTTTCAATTTAAAGTATACTTCTGTATGCAAAGTTCATTTTTCCAAAAAAAAAAAAAATATTGATTAATTTATTCTGACAATATTGAATGCTCTAGAAAAACAGGAAATCCTTGTTAATTCAAATTCGGACAGTTCATAACTACACTTTTGTCCTGTCTGGGCATATAGAGATTTACACGTTAAGGAATTTGGTTAGTTCAAAATATGGATACTTTGAAATTTAAAGTGAAAATTCTGTCTGAACTGCAACACACGTACATTAACTTGTTCTTTAGATCAAAGTGTCTCCACAATATAAGAGAACAGTAGACTAACGACAAGTCTAATCTGGTCAATATCACTGCTTTTACAGTAACACATTTTCGGGTATCACCTTATCCGTGGACTACTCTTTTTTCTCTTATCACATAAAATATGGCTGGGTTTCTGGATTGCAATGTTGGACTATGAGTAGCAGATTGAGATATTTGTAGGGCTTTAGGCTACTACATTTGGTCAACTTGTTACTTTTGGGCTGCTGCAAAAATAATTTGGGCTACATTTTGAGGAATTCTGCTTTACTTTTTATAAAAACTATCTGGTGTCCTGTGAGGTTCTCACCAGACATGCACTGTTTACCTGTGGTTTATTTATACTATGATTATTAGTTAACAAAAGTAGCATTTTGTATGTAGCTGTATTCCATTGACTTAATAAATTACATCAGTTACATGACAATTGGCCTATTGTACAGAAATATGTAAATCTCGGATAACTGTAAGTCACAATTATTATGTCCCTTGAATTTCAAATTAATGAGGATTTCCTCTACTGAAATATTACAGCTTTTCCTTCCAGATTTTTACTAAATTCATTAGAAACACTAATTTGGATTATTAAATTTAATACAAAATGACAGAATTGCCTGTCTTTTATTGAAAATTCTTTAATTATTTAATTAAATTATAGCATTAAAAATAGCCTGTAGACAATTTTTATCTCTCTTTCAATGGATTAATGACTTGAAGAATGTGTCAGTGGAATATTTCAGATATTAATGGTGCTATCAATGAAAAATTAAGGCAGATAATTTTTTATGATTTTAATTAAAATTATTAAATGATTTATTTTGTTTCACACTGAACCTTTTCAAATTTAGACACGATTCAATTGTCATTTCAGGTAAATTCATTATTGCCGAGTAAGCATTTCATCAACGTTATAAAGACCTTAATTAAACATCCTCTGTCAATGGTGAGATGCAAATCGTTGGAAATGTTTAGTGCAAAGATGCTTTATCAACAGGATTTTTTTGCATTGGATAATGTATGTAACTATATTAATTTAATAAATAATTTCTAGTATTAATGCAAGTATTGTGTTAGGATATTTTTATTATTGTGTACCTCAAGTAGTAATTTGTTAGTGGCTTAATAGTTTTTATTTTTTCAGTTCACAGAAAACAAATATTTCAAACATCCTCAAGATATATTCATCCTTTTTTTTTATGTTTTAGTTTAAAAAAATAGCTGGAATGAATGATTTTTTAAATATTTTTATAAGAAACTTGTTTTTTTGTTTTGTTTTTTTTTCTTTCTTTCTTTCTTTTTGTCTAAAAGTTGTCAATACTTTTGTCTTTATTAAAAGCTATAATTGCAGATTCACAATTTGTTGCAAATTTGAGGTCTTTATCAAACATTTTATAGCCACAGGTTTCTATAAAATCTTTGACAAAAGCTTCAAATTTTCACTCTAACCTTTGAATTAGCACTTAAATTCTCCAATAGAAACAAAATTACTACCAAAAACGACCTTTTCTTAAGACAGTTTATGCATTTAATTAGTCTGTAATTTAAAAAAATGCATTAACTTTAAAAATGCAAAGTTAATGCATTTTTTTAAATTACAGACCTTACCGTTCTGATTTCTTTTGAAATTTTATCACTTTGAATTAGTAAGTTTTGGTTCTTTGTGAAAATGTTTAATTTTCTAGATAAAGGTATAATTAATTTTAATAATTAATAAGAAATAATATATTTAAATAATGAGGTATTATATAAAAATTGTACATAAATGAAGCAAAACAACACTTAAAGAACCATAAATAACTCCAGTAAATAATCATGGATGGAAGGATTAATGTTTTCGATCCTTTCCATGGATTTTCAGGTCAAAGGTTTTGAAATGGAATACTTTTGGAGTATTGATTGCAATTGATCTATACTCCAAAAGTATTCCATTCCAAAATCTTTGACCCAAAGGAATGAACACATTAATCCTTCAGTTCATGATTATTTACTAGAGTTATGATTCTTTAAGGTGTTTTTGTGCTGTATACTTACACTCCAGTCTACAGAACTATTGTGAGTGGAATAAATGAAGCAGTTTCTTTCATATCTGTGTTTGGTATCAGAATATTAATTAAAACAAAATGGAATTTTATTTGTTAAGACTTGTAACAAGGATTGTTAGTGGGGATGATTGACTTACAGATCACACACACACCACTAAATCCTAGTTTTACAGAGTCTAATTCTTGCCAATTAAACTTTATCACTGTATTAATTAATACTCCAGTGCTTAATTAATTCCCACTTAATAAAAAGAAATAATTTTTTTATGTTAATAAATATGCTTATAAAACATTTTACATTCTTCAACTAATTTATTATTATTATTTCTTTTTATGTACAGCATCCTGCACTAATTAGTTTTGTCAAACCATTAGTAAAGTTTATAAAAAACAATGAAGCGTGTTTGTCTTCGGAATCGGGTGAAACCGAAAGCATTTTAAACAGCCAAACATCTTTTTACTGTCTCAAATTACTTTGCAAGACATTAGGTTCTACGTATCCTGACAAATTCAGAAAGGTAATATAACATTTTAAAAATTTTTATTGTTGCAAATTTTCTCGTATTAATGTCGTTTTGCGTTTTTAAGCTTATAGACGTCATCATTCTGGTATTACGAAAACACAAAGTTTCTCTTCAGTTGACGTCCAGCGCTCTCCTGTGTTTGGCCGAAATGTGCCGTTCGTTAGGTATACAGGTGTTGCCTAATTTGAATGAAATTATGCAGTCGCTTTTAGATATTTTAGAAAATACAGAAATCTTGAAAAGGTAATAATTTATTATAAATTTGTTAAATAATAATAAACTATTCTTCTAATAAAACTTTTTCTTACTTTACAGCAACTCTTTATTGTTAATTAGTTCTCTCACTACAGTTCAGCATCTAGTGGAAAATTTATCGCCATTTCTAAGTTCCTATCTTCATCAATTACTCACAGATGTAAGTTATTTTTAAATTTTACAACTTAATCGTGTCTTTGGAATTTGCTATGCTTAATAACAATTTTAATTTATAATAATATCAATATAAATTTTTAAGAAACAAATATGTAGTGATATCTGATGAATGATGTAGTTGAACAAGGTATATTCAAAAAGTTTATAGAGTTTAATCAAGTAATCAAATGAAATTAGAACTCTCAAGAAGTGGCGTCGGGAGTTCAGTGATGCCACAAGTCAGTTTTGGTGATGTTGCCAAGCTTCTTGAAAGTTTTATTTTCACTTGATCACACTATAAATATATAAAACAATGAAATGATTAAATTAGGAAATTTTTATTTTGTATAACTACAACTTTTAAATATCTTTTGAGACTTATTAATAAACAGATAGGTTTCTATTGCATTTTAGACATGTTGTAAGTACATTTTCTTAGTTTTATTTTTGTATTTTACAATTGCCAATGCCATTGTAAATAATATGATAGAAAAACTGAAGAGGACAAAGAATCTTATAAGCCATTTTAGTTTATAGAATTCTTCTTCTTCTTTGGTTTTGCCATTTCATTCTTTATAAAATTACTGGAAGAAATTCTATAAGCTGTTTTGGCTTTTGGTATTTTTACAATCATCCAGCAGAAATTGTTACATTAGAAATTGTTAAATTAATAAAATGTTTTGCTATATCAAACTCAACTGGATCTAACATCTTCTTATCTGAACTAAGCAGTTGTTTAGTATTATATTTATTTTTATTTTTCAAAAAATCTTCCAACAAAATTAAAAAACTGTTTGTCCTAAAGATATATTCATTCTCATCTCAAGAAGTTAATCTTTATTTTGGTTTAATATTCTTGGAATTTAAAATTCCATCTCCATAATCTTTTTGAAGAGCTCAGTTTTACATGAACCAAACTGTACAAGATTTTTGTGTAATTAACAAGTCATTCACTTCAATATTTGATAAATACTAAAAATATCGAAACTTTAAAAAGGTCATTCATCAAATACCTCATATTAAAAATCAATAAAACAAAACTTACTCTAACACCTTGTAAAGGTCATTTAATATGACCAAAAACGTTAGAAGTTAATAAATTTGGCTGCATGTTTACAAGGTGTTAGAGTAAGTCTTTAAAAAAGTGGTGATGATATTTTATTAATGAGAAATATTCACATATAGTACATAATTATAAGATATGATCTCTGTTAAAGAATACAGATTAAATTGAAGATCTATTAACTTGAAGTTAGAAACTATAAACTGGACATTTTTGGACACTGATGTAGCTTAACTTGATGGAGATCATTCACGTTCAGTTGGAGATCTTTGTAAAGGATCTGGGTTAGATTCAAACTGCAGGCAATAGTATGCTCCAATAACCTCAAATCCTTGTTGTGCTTCCTCTTGATTTGTAGACTTTAATTTGGTATTATATATAAAGTATTATATTAATTATTTAATAATATGTTTTTTAACTGTTGTTTATTATAAAAGTAAATTTACTAATTTAGTTTAAGGTTCTTTATTATTTATTTAGAACTTGATCATATTATTTATATACATTTATGGCAGAAATAATTAGATGATTTAGTAACATGGAAATGAACACTTTAATTGCAAAGTAAATATCAAATAACAAAATAAAAGAAAATTACATACGAAAATGTTAAGTCATAAAGTCATTTTTTGAATATAATGTTATGGTAGAGCATCGATTATCTGAAACAATTCGGGACTGGAGTTGTTCGGATAACTGATTTTTCAGATAACTGATCATTTGTGACAAAATATATTAAACACTGAACTTTACTATATCACATGTCTTACAAATACATATCTAACTTATATACAAATACAAATACACAAGTAGGACTACGGTTTATGTTGGCAGAGAGGGAGAAAGTGATGCAGTGACATAATACTAGCAGAAATTTGGATTTGCCGACTGGAATGCTTTTGGTTAATTGATGTTTTGGTTGATCGGTATTTGGATAATAGATGCTCTACTGTATTTGGGTTTGTTCCACCAGATGTCAGGCAAACATCAGCATGCAATCTAACGTTTTGCGTAACTTTCCTCATCACACATGCCGAAATTTGATGAATTTTAGTTCTGATCAGGCTTTACTTAGATATTGGCTGTAGTAGTCTTATACTGTTTAATCTAATTCAGTATTGCTTAACATGTTGAAATTTTGCCATTTTTTTCTGGTGCTACCATGTTTCCCCGAAAATAAGACCTAGCAGAGGTTTGCTGAATTGCTAAATATAAGGCCTCCTCTGAAAATAAGACCTAGCAAAGTTTTTTTTTACTTGTAACGGTCATCGACAGATGGTTGAAAGTGGCTGTTGGCTTTTTGAAAGTACAGCCACTGATTGGTCACCAGACAATCATGCCACACGGCATGATTTGCATAAGACTATGGCTTGGGAATCACAGATTTGCATAACATTACATCTGCTGAATGCTAATTGATTGGCCAGGAATCACGCCACATCACATTTACATAGTGCTACGGCTCAGTAAGCACTTAATTGGTCATCGAGCCCACTGTTGATGCTATAAAAAGGTCAAGAGTGGGAAGTGCACTCTAGCATGGGAACTTCGTAAGTTCACTTCAGTTTGTGACTTTGGTTTTATTTAAGTTCAGTTCAACATGATCAGATATACGTCACTCTCATCTAAGTTTCACTTGGGAATTTTTTTGTTCAACAATAAATGTGAATTCTTCATGGAAAAATAAGACATCCCCTGAAAATAAGACCTAGCACATCTTTGAGAGCAAAATTAATATAAGACACTGTCTTATTTAGGGGAAACAGGGTAAAATGTTGTGTTACAGTAACGGAATTATTGCCTTTACAAACTATTTTAATAGCAAATGCTTGCTGTTCTCCTGACTGGTGGCAACTGAAGGTTGAAAACCACTCTATATTAATCAGTGTATAGTGCGTTTCCACCTGTCAAATACCAACATGTTGGCATAGCACCAAATTTAAATTGTCTAATTGTTTTTGCCATCCTGTATATTCAAAATTTTCAAATAATAATTTTGATTTTCTTTATATAAGGTAAGCATCATATCCGCAGTCATACCAAAGAAAGACAATCAGAATGCTTCCGTTCATCAGTGTCTAACTACCATTTTCAAGCAGCTGGCCTTGACTGTACCTCTCCGTGTACTGCTGCCATCGATCGAGAATTCTTATGATGCCATAAAAACTGACAATTATGTAATTATATCTTTATATTTTTTTGAATTTAATTATAACATTTTGCATTTTATTAAAAATCTCATGATTTCAAAGAGTACTGTAGAATTTCTTACAAACTACACATTATTATATAATGCAATTGTATTTAGTAATACCAATGATAACTTAGAGTATAATATATGTTTATAATTTTTAAAATATAAAAGCTGCTAAAATTTGTAGGCTTATTTTCTTATAAGTTTCTTATGCATATGAAGTGTACAGTAATTCATATATCCACACATGCAATAATCTGCATATATATATATATATATAACTGCATACACATACTCAAATTAGATGAAATTGATTAAGTTAAGTTGATTGATTTGATAATTAAGTCGATAATATTTTAATGTTAAAATGTGTCAATGAAAATATTAAACTTTACAGAGAGCCGTCGAACCACTCATGTTTACGTTTACGACTAAGTTAACTTCGCTGGAGAAGTCTGAACTGGATGCTTATCTTCCAAATATGCAAAAGTTTCTCTTAAAAATTTTTGATTTTCGTTGTGAGAATACAATGGTATGTTTTGTATCTATTATTAAGCTGTATGATTATAATTATCAACATAACTTATTAATACTTACATGTATATTAGTTTTACTTCTTTGTATTGAGAAATGTATTCTAAATCATAAAAATTTGTACATTTTTTTGTTTTAATTTGTTTTTTTTTTATTAAAATTTTAACAAATTTGTTATTTGTTAAAATTTGTTTTTTTATTGCAAATTAATAAAGCAATGAATTGATAGAATGTGACAACATAAAGATTTTTAATTGATTTTTTTAAATGAATGATACTTTATTAATGCTTTCTGCAATATTTATTCTGTTTTGTCTTAACATTATTTACATTTTTTCCATGTTAAAATTGTTAAAATTATATTATTTTTCATGTTTCTGCATTCATATTATCAAATGATCTGCCAGATTATTTATCAGGCTGTATTAATGTTGATTAGTAATGAGAGACAAAGCAATTTGTCTAGATGTAAGCAGTTAATCTACCATCTCTTGATAAATTTGATAATTATAAATAAATAAATTTTAGTTTAGAATGTTCTGAAAGAAGAGAGAGCCTCTGGCCAAATTATTTTGTATCTGATTACTAGTTATCCTTAATATGGCCAATGAATATTCATATCATTTAATTAAATTGCCTCAATGTCCCTTTTTTTTTTTTCTTATTAATATGTAAATTTTCGACTATAAATTCATATCTTCTATTATCAGGACTTATTATACTGGTTTTACAGATAATATTACAAAGATTAACAGAAAACAATTTTTATTTTATTTCGTATACCTGTATATGAAATAAAATAAAAATATGTTTTCTGTTAATCTTTGTAATATTATCTGTAAAACCAGTATAATAAGTCCTGATAATAGAAGTTACGAATTTATAGTCGAAAATTTACATATTAATTCGTATCATTTGGTTATACTAGTACAATGATCTATGCTAAGTATTGACGGCCGGTAAAACTGCATTAATTAAAACTTTTGCTTAACTGCACAGCGGACAGGGATGAATTTAAAATATGACTCTCGTCAGTTGATGGTTGATGTGAGTTGTATTTTAAAAACTTCTGCTGCATATATAAAGGGATTGCCGCAGTTAATTTTGCACGTTAATCAAATCTCGTGGTAAGCAAGGGATGCCTGTATATCACGTTCATGTATATATTATTATGTATTCTTAAGAATATTTATAGAAACTTAGTTCATAGTTATAATCAGAGGATATACACACACACTACAGGAGTAAAAGTTTTTTGTGTGATCAAATGGTTTTGGTGACTTCGCTCTACCATCATCAGACCCAAAAGAAGTTATAATCATAAATACAAATGAGAACATCCTGGTAGAATTCAAAAGCATGAACAGTTTCCAACAGATGTTCTGATTTGAATTTATAAATTAAACATTTTTCAGTGTGTAATGGGTGAGAGAAGTCCCCCCAAAAAAAAAAAAACATTTAACTAAAAGATTTGACTTCTATAATATTCTTAATGTTTGTGATTTTCCTGATATTACATGGAGTTGACATATCCTGAAACTTGTTGTGGTTACAGTATCTGTTCTCTGTATAAACATTTTGAGCTTAAAACTCTTATTCTTGATTGTTTTATTATTATTGTGTTCATATTGCCAAGGAAATATCTTTGCAGATATTCATGTGTTGCATTGTTTACTCTTCAATTTCATTATCTTTGTTTCTGTTTTGGGAACCTTTTGATTCCATTGTAGAAAGAGTTTATGTTTCTAATTAAATTAGACTTCTAAAGTTAATAAGCATATACAATAACTTTTTTAGATAAACCTTATATGGTACAGTTTACTATTTATAATGGCTAGATGTAATAGAATAAATATGTATTTAAACCTGTCTAAACATAAAAATGGTACGTGCGGCTATGAGTTTTCGGCTCCATTATAAACTTAGGAACCTCTGTTACGTATGATCTCTTGTTAAGCGCAACCTTCCTGCACTTAATTAATATAGAGTATATAATATTTCACGGGATCAAATATCTGTTATAATTGCAAATTAGACTTAAAAAATACTTAGAAATCAGAAATTAAGGTTTTAATTTAGTTTTTCATAGTTGATTTACCTTTAAAAATGTTTTTTAGTTATCGTTAAAAGAAATAGAAACGTACGAAGCACACATCATTGAAGCATTTGGATTTTTGATTCTGAAGCTTTCTGAAACTACTTTCAGGCCTTTGTTTCTTCAGGTAAAATTTAATAAATATTAGTGAATATTTTATTTTAACTTAAATATATTTGGAGATAACAATATTAATTATCACTATTTTATTTTTAGTTGTTCGATTGGGCAACCAGAAGCGATCGAGTAGACAGGGTTTTGACATTTTATAAAGTCACCAACATGTAAAAATATACTTTAAATGAAATTCGCTGCTCAAAAATTATTGATATTTTTTTTGTAACAATGTCCTGTATTTCCAGATTGGCAGAAAAATTGAAGAGCTTGTTTATTTTATTTGTTGGTCATTTTATTAGGAATGCCGCATCATTATTGGATAAGAATAACAAGTGCAAAGACGGTATTTAATTTAAATTTTTAAATGGTAATTATTAAATTAAAGCATATTTATTTAAGCATTTTTATATTGAAGGCGACTATTTTACGAATGAGAAAGTTGGAGTAGAAAAAGCGTGTTTGCTATTGAAAAGCATTCTAAGTACGCTACATAAATGTTTCCTGTACGATAACGAGAAATTTGTCGATAAAACTTTGTTTAATGCGATAATGCAACCGATAGTTGATCAAGTAAGTAAAAATTCTAATATAATATATTTTTAATAGATTTTATATTCTTATAACGTATAGCGGTCAAATAGGGTCGTCTAAGAGACACGAATGGGCCCAAGCATGAAATGTAGCCAGCTCGTACCATTAACTTTACAGTCACGTGTCACTTAATGTTTACAATACGTTCTATGGAGTAGAATGTTATGAAATTTGGACATGTGAAGACCATTCTTTTATTGATATTTTTACTCTTGAGTACTGATCTTGTGGGACTTTACTAAAATATTCTGAGTCTGTTAAGGGTGAATAATCTTTCATCTTAAGAAGTTCCCAAACTGAAAAGTTGATAAATATATACATATATATATATATATATTTCATGGTGTTGTGGTTTACTGACTTTGAAGAAGCTCAAAATTCAACAATTTTCTCTGATAATGTTGATAACATCATACATGTTGATGTATGTTGATAACATCATATAGTCATAGGAGGAAATATGAGGGGTGGAATTAATCACCCCTCATAATTCCACCTATGACCATATGATGTTTTGCAGACAGTATAATATTTCACATACCATGCTAGTATCCTATTTTATCCAGCCAGTTCATCTATTGTGCAATTTTATTGAGTCCCAAGCATTAAGGATACTCACATATTTTTTTAATATGTGGATGAAACACTGTTTAGCAATTTTGATAGTGTTAATGTCATACCAGCTTTTGAGTGGTACTGGATGTTTCCAACATTTTGTGATCTCCTCCTCTAGGGCTTGTTGCATAAATATTGTGCTTTTAGTGGGGTATCATCTAATTGAATCAAAGTGTTCTTTCACACGGAGATTCACAGACCTGTAAGCAAATCTCGTATATGAAAAAATCGTTGTTTTCTTTGCTTAATTTGATTGTGTATATTCCCGGATTTTTAAATATCTTGCAAATTATTACCAAAATTTATTGGTAATAATTTAGTGTCAGAGATATGTAAAGCTGACAATCTAACTGACTGTGACAAAGACAAAATAATCATTAATTTAATCACATTTTTACATGATTAACCAATTTATTTTTTGGATAGTGCACAATATCCCTTCTACAGTGCAACTTTTAAATATTCCTGTTGGAGGAAAAGTAATAAATATTTAATTAAATAAAAATAGATTGTAAGAAACATCATTAATAATATGAAAAAATTGTTTAAATTACATATTATAATTTTATAGATAGAAAATGACATCGGAAGTGACGAAGACTATCAAGATAGAATAATCAATTATGTAAGCCCCTGTATCGCTCAGTTTGCCGTGGCTCTAGCCGACGACACCCTGTGGAAACCCGTCAACTATCAAATAATGTTGAAGTCTCGTCATAATTCTCCCAAAGCAAGTAACATTGCAAATAATTAATGGAAAATATAAGGATTTAAAATAATATAAATTTTTGTTATTGCAGGTGAGATTTGCCACTTTGCATGTTCTTTACGAATTAGTTCAGAAATTAGGAGAGAATTATCTGATTTTATTACCAGAATCCATTCCATTCCTAGCAGAACTAATGGAAGGTAATTTTTGCTTATTTTTTCAATTTATTTAAATTTTGAAAATAATTTGAAATAAGTATTGAGAACTTTTAATAAATAAATATTATAAAGCATTTACTTATATATTATCATATTACATTTGACTGTTGTCAATGTAAGGTTCAAAGTAGATTTTTTCATGGCAACAGTCATGAGAGAATCTGCTTTGAATTCATGATAGTTCTTTATTATTATAGGCAGTTTTTGGTTGGAACATGATTACCAATGTCTTAGCCATGTGAAATTTAGATGTACCGTAATATACAAAACTTGGGTTAGCTACAAGTCAAATGAACATTAGCAGGATGTGAATACCTTTTCTTTAGCACAGAGACATCCATAAGTATAATTGGCATAGAGTTACTTTCAGGGAAAGGTTTATGATAGATTCTTGTATTGTTTTTGTATATCTTTTTCATTCAGTGAGACGTTTAAGTGAAGAGAGGAGCAGAGCTGGAAATTGATCATTGCCAAATTGTTTGCACCCTCAGACTTCAGAGACAAAATGATTTTTGCTTAGCTGGAAAACCTAAAAAGTTATTTCATAAAAAGTGGAAAGCTTTGTAAAATAAATCATTGAGGAAGGTTTTCACAAATGATATTTCTTCTAGGTATCGAGCAATTTCTGAGGAGCAATCTGATGTTGATATGGAGTGGAACCTGTTCAGAACAACAATTACCACATTGGTGATCTCATTGTGGACAGAAACATTAGGGTGTGGCACTACACCCTAATGTTTTTGGTTCTGCTAAGAAACCCTTAGCAGAACCAAGAAGTTCAAGAAGCTTTACAGGCAACAAAGTACTTAGCATAGCAAAGTTTATATGAAAAGCTGCAAATCGTTAAAGGAGAAGGTCTGAGAATTGTTTTGGCAGAAAACTAGCGTTAGACTATGGCAAACTATCTGTTGTCTTCATGAGAGGAGAGGGAATACTACTAAATGAATAAAGTGTGTGACTGGGGAGCTCTTTATTCATGAGGAGGACATTATCAACAGATAGGAAAGAGTGCTTTAATGATCTAAACCCAGTGGATGCTGGAGTGACTGACATGAGCAGAATGCTTTTTGAGATGGAGAATGGCCTTATCATGATGGAAATGGAAAGGCAATCAAATTGCTTAAATTCAATAAGGCAGCATGTAATGATGAAATTAAACCTGAAATGTTAAAAGCCTTGAATGCTGAACTTAATTTATATTTGTGGGTTTCTAAAAAGACACCAAAGCAATGGCAGACTGGAGTTATAATCCCTATTATTAAGAGAGGAGTGACTGCTGTAACTATTGAGCCATCACTGTTCATTTTCCAGAAAAAGTCTATGCTAAGAGATGCAGAAGTATAGTTGAGGCTTCATTTCAGAATGATTGGTGAGATTTTTGATCTAGCAGAAGTGCAACAAACCAAATCTTTAAAAAATGCTGGGAGTATGCAAAAAAGTTTTATTGCCATGTTCCTTGGGATAAATTGCATGAAGTATTGCAGACTTCTCACAGCTTACGTCCAGCTTTTAATAGCCATTAAAACTCTGTATGCATGCTCGTAAGTTTCAGTTTGTATAAACTGTGTTTAGTCAAAGCTCTTTGGTTAGTACACATTATAAACGTCTCAAAGACTGATAATTATATTAAACCCAAACGATTTCCAGTTTTTTCTATATTGCTGCTATTATTAATAATTAAATACTAAATAATTTGGCATTAAATGTAGGCATTAAGTGCATCTCTTTGTTAAATTTAATGAGATGATGTCTAATGCCTACTTCTAGTGCCAAATTACTCAGTATGTAATTATTAATAATAGTGGTAATACAGTCCTTTTTAATCCAGCAATCGTTTGCCTTTAGTTGAGTACATTGTCACCACTGCTGTTTATTAATTGAACAGCATTGACTGGATTGAAAGTGTGAAGTGTGAAGAGTGTGTTGTTTTGGAGACTATATGATAGGTCAACAACTTTTTGCTGATGATCTGGTTGGTTTTGCTCAGTCACTTGCACTCATCTTCAAGAAGCACTTGATAGGTTTACACTGATCCTGTGATGAAAATAAGTATGCCAAAGACTGGATGGTTGATACTCAAGAAATCCTATTCAATTACTCTCTAACTAAATGGAACTACTTTGAGACAGATAAAGTTTAAATATTTCGGAATTGCATTCATGAGTAATGAAAAAGTAACACTCAAGAAAAGATACTATAAAAGTTAAATAGATCAATAGTATTCAAAAAAAACTACAGAGGAAGACAAAAGTTGTCATTCTTCAACTCATTCTATGTCCCAATTCTCACTTATGGGCATGAATATTGGATAATGCTGAAAAACTGTGATTTCCAGATAGAGACGGAGAGATGAGATTTGTCAGACCTTTGCCAGTGTTAAGAGGCTTGACAGAGTTTACAACATAAACATTGAAAAAAGTCTCAATACTTGGCCACTGCTTCTTCAAATTGAGAGATAATAGTTACATTAGTTTGGGCACGTAAGCAGAATGCCATAGAAGAGACTTGTAAAGAGTATAACATAACGTCTTCCTATTCCAATTGATTCAGAACACACGTAAGGTGAAGAACCAGAGAGAACTTGTTGGATGCATCTCAGGATACCAGCAGGGGAACTGAATTTAGTTGCTGCAAATTTAGCCCCATCGAAAGACTATTTAAACTGCTTGCTTTCCTTGCAAATTTCTGAGGATAGTAGGTATTGAAAAGGAGTGAATGAATGAATGAATATAGGAGCAACTTTTTACTCATGAAATACAGAAGAAAAGCCAGCATAACTTTTATTAGATTAAACCAACTTTTGCAAGTTTCCAACAGAATCTTTCTACTTGTGATGGCTGCCAAAACAATTTTCAATAAAACTAAACCAAGTCAAAGATTATCTTATATATCCCTAACTGGGGCTTGTGAGCAGCTTACAGCTCTTCTAGACCCTTATTTCAGCTCCCCAGCTCTTTTATTACTCCTCTGTTACACAATATTATGTATATGTAAATAGCTTGGCTCCAAGTTTGTAAAAAGAAATTTTTATAACTATGGGATCTGCATGTGGTTCTTGAGCTACAGTTTGGTGATATACTGTATATTGGATTTAGTTTAAAGTTGTAATTCTGTTTTGTTTGTTAAACTTCTCATTTTTTTTTCTTTGCAGACGAATGTCCCGAAGTGGAGAAACAGTGCCACGTGGTCCTGTCAGATATGGAAAAGGTCCTGAATGAACCACTCATGAAATATTTTTGAATTAATGTAAATATTTTTATAAAAATTGTATGAAAAAACTGTACATATGCTAATAAGTTGTATTTATTTCCGAGTGAATTGAAAGTTAAAAATATTTAAATGTCATAGAGATTGCCTAAAAATTTTAATTGCAAATTATAGGATCTATTGATGCAAATTACCAATATACTGTGGGCTACATAACCATCCCAATATCTTTCATTATGACAGCTTAAACTATGTTGGGATAATGGAATAAAACAAATCAGACCATCCATAAGAATTTCCTGATGTTCTAAACTAAATCTTCACCTTTCAGAAATATAAATGGGACTACACTGCATCATCTGGCAAACTGGAATGATTTTGAAATACAGTCAAACCTGTCATTAACGGAGAATTCTTCTATTGAATTTTTTGCGATAATTAATGTAAATTAACCTGTCTAACGCGGAAACGAAAAGGAAGAGCGGGCCGTATAACAGAAAAAACGTATCTTTATCGGATTTAACAAGAAGTTTACAAGCCTAGCATATATAAATCGTAGAAAAAAGTCAAAAAATACACATACGCAATACACAATCGCAAAATACGACTACTGTATTAACAGTTGTTTTCACTTAATATAAATGTTATAAGTTATGAAATTTAACGCGTTTATTCCCGATGTCAGATTGTATTCTTCATTTTTTGAAGCTTATTTTAAACTGTTTACATAACATTTCGCTTGAATAAAATCAAGTCGAAATGTCCGCAGATAAAATGCACACTTATAAGCTTCGTAAAGGATACCACGCTATATAAACTGTAAAAAAATACTCGTACCGTGAATGGGGAAGATGCTTCTTTTAATTAGCAATAAAGCAGATATTCAGAATAGTAATGAGCAACGGGTTATAATAATTAAAATAAACTAAATCCCTAAATGAAGCTGGAGGGTCCGACATGTTTCTTCCATAGACTNTGATACAGCCAGTGTAGCAGCGCCTCTTGCGGCAACCTCCAATATAGGGACAGAAAATAAGCTCGATTTCGACACTATATTTTCTAGCCACTGTACCCCGAGTTAACCTGGGGCCATATTCCGGTCACTGTCTCTCGTCTCTCGCAAGCCGGTCGCTGATTGGCTAATCCAAATGATTAGCCAATCAGCGACCGGCTTGCGAGTTACCAGAATACGGCCCCTGGTGCCCTCCCCAGAAAATTACAGCCGAAAAAGTGTTGAGCCGATTTGCAAAAAGAAATAAAAAGTTGAAGCTAATTTAATTGGGTGTAGTGTACCGCGGCCCGCAAATAATCTCTGAATATTGGAGTAAACTTCAAATAATCGCTTGAATGGATCCGCGATAATTCTGTGCAACCGGACAATGTTTACTTATAGGAAAGTTGAAAAATTCTTATCCTAAAAAAAAGGTCAACGGCTTTCTGTGCCCAATTCGGCCCGGGGGGAAAATTGTTGGCCACCCCTGGTCTATATCTAGATTAAAGACGGTGAGCTATATTAAAGAATGGTAAAAAATAATTGATTGGTTAATTTTGTTTAAGGCATTGCTAGAGTTTGATATTAATGTTACGAGAACGTATGATTAAAGGAAGTTTCATATTTTATGTGTGTTAAGTTATTGTCGATTCTTATGAAAATTTCATGTTAATGAACAATAATTTGAAATAATTCAATTTTGTGTCAGGTTGGCCTCTACTAGCCCCTCCATAAAACTCTGGCTACGCCAATGCACATAACAAACAAACTGCAGTCGTAAACACGTAACACGCGGCCCTTTAGAGCCCGGTGTAATATGTCTAGAGCTTAGATCTTCGCCTTTATACGTATCTATATTTGGTGGAGGAAGACCCTGTTATTTGTCATAGGATTAACAGAATAATGCAACGCGGGTGAGGCAAGAGATGACTTTTAGAAGAACTTTGTACGGATAACTGGCCGCTATTTAGGTATTAGACACTCGAATAACACCCGGAGAAACTACGAGTAGTGTTCGGTGGTTTTATCCATCGGACAACTGGTGAACTCGATGTGTTATAACTTTCAACCACAACAAGTTTAAGCCAAGCCCTGGGAGGAGCTCGAATTGTTTTAAACTTGTAAATTTCTTACATCGCGCACGAAGTATTTTGTTACAATTCCAATTTTTAAATAATTTTAGACGTTTTAAACACTCGTATGAAAAATCTTGACCAATGTGCTTGGGAATTTTTTTCTGCGTCTTCTAATTTCTCACAAGTACGGACGAAAATATTCTACCAGTAGCCGTGTTTGTAGCCTGGAATCGGGTCTGTCACTGAAGTAAAATATGTAAATTTAAATAAGCCTTCACGGGATTGGACATTTTAACATTCCCGCTCACATCATCATCGTTTGATCGACATCCAGCTGTCACGCAACCAATGAAATTACGAGGAATTGCATAGTTTTCTTATAAAAAGACGTGCGAGTCGCGTATTTTCAGCATTCGATGGACTAAAACCTTCGGGAAGTTCCTGTTTACATTCATCATTATTGGTAAGTAACGTTTATAAATTATTTTCTGACAGATGTGAATGACGCTGTTGGGATCTTAACAGAGCTGTCGAGCATGCCCACAGCAGCAAAAAAGTCAAAGGAACCGTACATCTAAACGTGACTCTTCGCGAGATACAGTTCCCGAAATCAGCATAAAGCCTATTTCCAATCGCTATAGGGAATCACGCTGCGTACTCCGCTAAGCTTATCGCGCGTTTATTAACAGTAATTACAGCGCAGTGATCGATGTTTATAGCAGGAAATTAATGCATTAACTTCTACCGACCGAAAACAGTTTTTACTTCGAACCTGTATTGCCTATTCTTCGTGCTATGCGTGGTCGAGGCGAGCCTTAGCCTACGCTCCCATGTAGTAGCACGCTTCGCTGCTGGCTATCGCTGGCACCTCAGTGCCCGGATGTGGGCACATCCCCGCACCGCCCAAAACTATAAAACATCAAGTACTCTACGAATAGTCAAATGGACTACTCGAAGTCGGCGTAGTCGCGTGAGCTAAATAGCGGTCCGTGGCGCGAGGATCCGCGAAATCAGCCGCACGCGATCCTGACCATGGTCTGCAGCTGATTTAGGGGGCTACATTTAGAAATGTGGTTCCTTTGACTTTTTTGCTCCTACGGGCATGTTCTATAACTCTGTTAAGATTCCAACAGCACCATTCACATCTCTAATTATACCTTTTTAGATTAATTTTGTGTATTCGAACCCGTAGCAATCGACATCTGTAAACGGTGTTTTTTTTCCCCCGGAAACTTTGTTGTAAGAATTCGTAGAAAAGAATGTGCAAATTTGCTATTTTTAAACGTTTTCTTTTGTGGCTGCTCTTCACACGTTTAGCTTTATTTGAAAGTAAATTGAATTAAGAAAAAACTAATTTTTTTTCAGGAATTATTTTGTTAGAAAGTAGCGAAGGTCGATACACGAAAATTATAGAACCCGATCGATCCGATTTGAAAGGAAGAAACTTAGATGCTGGTGTTGGTGTTGGTGTTGGTGTAGGTTTGTTGGAAGATGAGCAAAGTATAGCCAATGGTCAAGTTGTTGATAATTCACAACAAGATGACGAAAGAAAGAAAATTGAAGAAAACTCCATGGCTGGAATTAAAGGAGGTCGGTATTAATGTAATAAAACAGACTTTTATTTATTTATTATAGAATAAAATCACTTGGCTTTTAATTATTTATACGATAATTACTATTTACTTCCATTTATGTGTTAAATAGCTCTAATAAATACATTTTTTTCGAAATTTCTAAAAATATTACAAAATTTTGACCATTGTTTTGAGGAAAACGGGCAAAATGCTACTTATAATATATTCAGATATAATTTTAATTTAAAATATTTGCAGTTTGACTCCGAGGTGGACCGATTATCGGCGATCTTCCGGCTTCGCTTCTTTAACATCCGTTGGATCGTCCGAAAAGATTTTGTAATTTGAATATTCAAATATTAATAAAGAACATTTGGCTCGAGAATATTCTGGCTTTTATTATGATTTGATCCTTGTTATTGCATCTCGAATTAGAAATTGTCACCAAAATCCTTAGGATTGTATTGCATTAACTGAATCGTGACTGTTAAGTCCGTACGCGAGCGGTCACGAACGAGAACGATCGGGTTCAAGATGGAGGAGGGAGTAGCGCCGGAAATGACGCACTCCACTACGCATTTAAACGTTAACCCGTCGTCACGCGCGTGCGCAGTCGAATATAAATTGAACACCCGTTTATTGTCCTAGACACGCGCCGATGTGTGATTTTACTTCTACTGGAGTTTACGCTTTTATTTCAACTTCGACCGCTTCGGTTACACGAGGCGGGGAGACGGGCGTCACGTGATTCAAAAATTAATTAAATATTATCGGAAATGCTAATCTATAAGTACTGTACATTGCGTTTACAGTATTATTGTGAACAATGTGGTCAATTATTTTATAAACACATTAATTATTTTAATTTTTATGAATTATTTAATTTGATGCAACATTACGCGACATTTTAATAAACGAAATGAATTAATTTACATATTACATTCGCCTGGCACTTTTATATTCATAAAATTAGAAAAATACAAAAATTATATGTAAAAAATACCAATGTAAAAATTAAATTATATCCGGGACAAATTTGAGTTCTTTACAAGTTATTCGCTTTAAAACAACGCGATTATAAGCGAATTTTTTGACAAAAAAAAAAATTAAAGTCGCCGAATTTACTCTAACCTGGGTTCTCACAGAATGAAGCAATGTAATACTTGGGAAATCTGTCCGGTGGTGTTTCCCGGAAGAACTTACAACAGATTAGGCCTAATTAGCAAATTAACAAAGATGTCTAAAGAAGCTTTACCGGACAACAGAACTACAAGCAGTAACGGGAACAGCGAAATACCCAGCTCGTTTACGAATATTAGTTTGGTTGGTTTGGTATGTTTTCATACGGAAAACACTACTTAGCCGGCGCTAACTTACAACCGACTACCAATGCTTGGTGATTTTAGACACTGGGCAATGGTGNTTACGGCGGGGGTTGGTTCTGCAAATTCAGGCATAAGTCAAGAAGTGACTGTACATACAACAAAACATTTAGCCATCTTACACAAGCACACGTGATGTATTATAAGTTTATATTTAAATAATATATAATATATACATACATTCAGCAGTTTGCATCAAAATAAAGCCTGCATTAGTCAATACAGTTACTTCTCGACTTACGGCGGGGTTTGGTTCTGCAAATTCAGGCATAAGTCAAGAAGTGACTGTACATACAACAAAACATTTAGCCATCTTACACAAGCACACGTGAAGGATATTTTAGTTTTGTTCTGCAGTTAGCAGAACAAAAATTAAGATGATGCAATCAATTGCCAGAAGTGTGCAAGATATATGTGTATATGATATATGTTTGACAAAAACTATAAAAAATTGATACATCTTAAAAATTTTTTAATGAAATTTCTTCATCCTAAGTCGAGGTGGTCATAACTTGAGAAGTAACTGTAGATCATTTTGACTTAATGTATTGATTCTGCACGTATGTATGTTGTATTATCAATATTAATATTGATAAATAAAATATATTATCGCACATTACTGGTCAATTTTTTAAAGAAAACTTAGTACCATTTTTTGTTATATAATACTCATTTTAGTACCTTTTTTAAAAAGGCTTGGAACAACCTTGGGCAGTTGTTCCAAGCCTTCTTGTGCTTCTCCTTTTCGGAACGAACAAATAATGATTCTTAGAAGGTAGTGCGGTTTTGATGCAATCTCTACCAAAACCTTGAGAAAAAGTAATTTAAAAAAAGAATAGAAATTGTTTAAATGTAGACATGTTTCCAAATTAATAGAAATTTCTTCGGACAGGTATACAGATCCAAACGTAAATCGAGGTTCAACTATCATTACTGGAGTTGTTTCCCAAACTAGTGTTTCCAAGAAACCCTACAATGCTGAAATTAAGGCATTTCTTTTTTCTTTCAATATTTGCATAGTTATCAATACAAGAACGAATGGCATGCTTTTATGGTTAGAAACAAGTATGATGGTTGATGTGAGTTGTATTTTAAAAACTTCTGCAGCATATATAAAGGGATTGCCGAATTAATTTTGCACGTTAATCAATTCATATTATCCACACATGCAAGAATATGCACATATAAATGCATACACATACTCAAATTAGATGAAATTAATTTAAGTTAAGCTAATTAAGTTGATAATATTTTAATGTTAAAATGTGTCAATGAAAATATTAAACTTTACAGAGAGCCGTCGAACCGCTCATGTTTACGTTTACGACTAACCTGTAAGTTATCTTCGCTGGAGAAGTCCGAACTGGATGCTTCCCAATATGCAAAAATTTCTCTTTTTTCTCATTTTTCTCTTTTTTCTCAAAAACAAATTTCTCATTTTTTGAAGTTTATTTTAAACCATTTACATCACATTTCGCTTGAATAAAATCAAGTCGAAATGTCCGCAGATAAAATGCACACTTATAAGCTTCGTAAAGGATACCCTGCTATATTAAAAGTAAAAAATACTCGTACTGTGAATGGGGAAGATGCTTCTTTTAATTATCAATAAAGCAGATATTCAGAATAGGAATGAGCAACGGGTTCTAATAATTAAAATAAATAAACTAAATCCATAGATGAAGCTGGAGGGTCCGACATGTTTCTTCCATAGACTTAATACTGTATCTTTGCTTCTCCGCCACACACAAACGATTGTGAATTTTTCATTTGTGATTGCAATGGACTCGAATACACGGCAAGAGCTTTATTTTGATACTCGAACCGCATTTGTAAACCGGGCAATTCTGGCAAATCAAGCAGACCGACCGAATTAATGTATAAAAAACCGATCGGGACCATGATTCTTCCATATTAAACTTTATAACTGAATTTGTTTTAAGTAAAATTTGTGCTAATCATTTTAATTACTATTGTTTAACACTATTTAGAGGCTTAAATGCTGTATAAAAATCGAAAATTACTTATAAATAGACGAATTTATGCGATTGAAACTCGTGTTTCACCCAATTTTTTAGTTCCCCTGCATCCGTTAACCCAATTTGTGTGTTTATATTATTGTTTATTAACAAAAACGATTTGACCTGGTTTTAATTTTTCCCGAATGTATACAAATTAAAATACATTTTAAAATAAAGATGGAGGATTCTACCGAAAGAAGAAGTCTTCCTTCTGAATATGGCGATAATCGTATTTTTAAATCGCATTCCTGTGTGTAATTAAAGGAAAAATATGAAATTATGGAAAATTTATTACAATTAAAAATATATTTTTTTGTTTTTTTTCTCTTTAAATTCGATCACGCAGCTGTTAACGTCACTATTTAATTGTGGAATTTTAACGAAGATCTGTCATACACGTGGAAGACTTGTCACTTCTCGTTCTAGTTACGAATTTATTTAATAATTTATTTTCCTCTCCTAAAATTAAGTATAGGGGCTACCCACTACCTTGTGTGATTTGCCCCTTAAAAATGTTTACACACAAAAATTTCCATAGAAAATTTTCTAGAATACTTTGTGAATAAATAAAAAATCACATGAACTGCAGCATTAAATTTACCATAGTGGCGAAATTGGTACTAATTTGTTATTTTTTACGATAATTGTTCCACGTGTCTGAATGCCACCGCATCAAATATGTGTGTAATAGGGATCTTTTAATTACCTCGTATTATTTGCATATTATGTGATTTCGTCGCCGTTATTATTACATTAGAATNAATCGCAAAATACGACTACTGTATTAACAGTTGTTTTCACTTAATATAAATGTTATAAGTTATGAAATTTAACGCGTTTATTCCCGATGTCAGATTGTATTCTTCATTTTTTGAAGCTTATTTTAAACTGTTTACATAACATTTCGCTTGAATAAAATCAAGTCGAAATGTCCGCAGATAAAATGCACACTTATAAGCTTCGTAAAGGATACCACGCTATATAAACTGTAAAAAAATACTCGTACCGTGAATGGGGAAGATGCTTCTTTTAATTAGCAATAAAGCAGATATTCAGAATAGTAATGAGCAACGGGTTATAATAATTAAAATAAACTAAATCCCTAAATGAAGCTGGAGGGTCCGACATGTTTCTTCCATAGACTTAACATTGTATCTTTGCTTCTCCGCCATACTAAAACGATTATGAATTTTTCATTTGTGATTGCAATTGACTGGAATACACGGCAAGAGCTTTATTTTGATACTCGAACCACATTTGTACCCTGGGCAATTCTGGCAAACCAAGCAGACCTACCGAATTAATGTAGAGAAAAACAATCGAGGTCCTCCATGATTCTTCCATATTAAACTTTATAACTGAATTTGTTTTAAGTAAAATTTGTGCTAATCATTTTAATTACTATTGTTTAACAATATTTAGAGGCTTAAATGCTGTATCAAAATCGAAATTTACTTATAAATAGACGAATTTATGCGATTCGAACTCGTTTCACCCAATTTTTTAGTTCCCATGCATCCATCAACCCAATTTGTTTGTTTATATTATTGTTTATCAACAAAAACGATTTGACCTGGCTTTAATTTTTTCCGAATGTATACAAATTAAAATATATTTTAAAATAAAGATGGAGGATTCTACCGAAAGAAGAAGTCTTCCTTCTGAGTATGGCGATAATCGTATTTTTAAATCGCATTCCTGTGTATAATTAAAGGAAAAATATGAAATTATCGAAAATTTATTACAATTAAAAATATATATTTTTTTGTTTTTTTTTCTCTTTAAAGTCGATCACGCAGCTGTTAACGTCACTACCTTTACAGTCATACAGGTGGAAAACTTGTCACTTCTCGTTCTAGTTATGAATTTATTTAATATTTTATTTTCCTCTCCTAAAATTAAGTATGAGGGCTATCCACTACCTTGTGTGATTTGCCGCCCCTTAAAAATATTTACACACAAAAATTTCCATAGAAAATTC